TCATCATATCTCAGAGTAGGGAGAAAGATAAAAGAAATGACTCAGACTTCATGAGAAAGATACAACAAAACACAAATTTCATATATCAAAGAAATTTATACCAAAATAATAAACAAACAACATTTATTTGAAACTCTTTCTCAAAGCAAATCCCTTGTATCCTCTCTTAGGAAATGTAGAAAGAAGAAATCTCTCACTTCTCTCCCTCTCCAACACTCTTAGAGAAGAATTCACACTTAAACTCACCACAAAAAACTCAAAACTATAAATAAAATAACTAACTAATGGTGTGGAATGGCGTGGAATGATGTAAGGAAGTAAAGTGGCACAAAAAGGGTACAAGAAAGACCAAGAGCGAGCAGAGGAGTATGAAAAGATGTGAAGGAGGGATCCTTTTATGATCAAATTTGGCTCTAAATAGAGCCTAAGGTTGGTTTTCCAATAGTTGCATCCAAAAACTCTTTAAAAAGGGTCTAAATTTGTCAAATCTTCTAGATACAGGGTCTGCACCGACACTAGCGTTGTCGGCGCCAGTGGCCTTTTAATCAAATTCGTGTTCCCTGTCAAACGACACCCAGTCTGGCGCCGTTGGTGCTGAACAATTTTTTCAAAAACTTCATTTTGACTATAAAATTCATCCTTTTTTCTTCTTTTTTGTTCCAAGTCCTAAAAATCAATAACATGTAACAAAACATGAAAAATACCTTCCTTTAAAGTGCAATATCACTGAAAATGAGTATAAAATATGGGGAAAATGAGTATAAAATTATCACTGAAAATGAGTATAAAATATGGGTCTAAAAATGCATTTATTTTTTGTGTATCATTCACTAAGCATAAGGGGTATTTTTCTTTTATTTTTTTAATTTTTCTACACCAAGATATGATTTATTTAAAGTTATAGTTTGTTTTTTGTATTTAATTGAATAAAAATACCCACATTTTCCTACTTAACTACGTCAGCGCCAACTCATCCTCAGCATCTCCGAAGCTCCGCGCAGCGCCCTCCCATTTGTTGTGCTTTCTAAGTGAGCTTCCTTGTCACCCCACGTTCTGGTTTCCTTAATCAAACCATTCTATCATCCAAATTGATCCCTTCATCTTTTCAAATACACGGGAATGGATAGCATCCGGTCATCATCCCAAATGAACTCTAACCCAAGAACAGTTCATACTTGAAAGCTAAGATCTCTCTCGATACTTAACCAAATTAAGTGCAGTTTATTTCTGTAGATTTATCTAAGTGAGACGAATATATCCATATGGCTAGGTGTACATGGATTGTTCATTTCTTTAACAAAATTCCAAACTGTGGAAAAAGAAATGGAAGTTTAGATATTATACCTTTGCCAAAAAGGAGGCCTCATTTGGGTTGGTTGAGAAGCTTCTCCTTGGTCCCAAGAACCTCCTCCAAGTGTTGGTTTACTCTGTGGATCGGTCTAAGTATGACCTAGACCAAATGGTGGATTGGGTTTGGTCTAGTGCTAGGTTATGAGGTACGAGAGAGGGGGCTTTTGATTGTAGAAGTGGTTTTAGCTATAAGGAAGCTTATGAAAGCTTATGGATCCCAATTTTAGGAAAATTCAGTCATGAATTTTAGGATTTAGGGTTTTATTTTATTCAAATGGATGAGGTGAAGGATTTCATGCTAAAGTATGTGGGCTTTTGGTTTTAAAAGAAATTGAAAATTGGGCTTATTTTAGTGGGCTTTTAGAATGGGTTATGAGATGTTGATTTTGGGCTTGATGGTGTTTAAGCCATTCATGGTGGTCTTGGAGGAATTTAGAGTTTATCATGATGATTTTTTACACAGGAGCTTGGTGAAGCTGGATTTGGTATGAGGGTTCAATTTTAGTGAGTTTTGGACTTAGGGTAAATGTGGGTGGATTTGAGTATAGACTTGAAATCGGATGGTCTTGAATTGGTCTAAATTTGGTTTTAGGACTTCATGGGTTTAAACTTGGTGCATTTTGGATGTTGGGTGAGATTATGCTTGAATTTGGTGGACTTGAGTTTAAGGTGGACATGGGAAGAGTTTGAATTTGAATTTTTGGTAATTTTGAATTTGGGCTTGAAATTGGGTGGGATTGGATTTGATTTTAGATTTTGGTGGATTTGAAATGAATTAGGGTATTGGGAATTTTTGAGAAATTTGGTGAAATTTAATGGGAATTGGTTGATGTGAGGGTAGTGATGGAGTTTGAGACAACCAAGTCACCCAAGGTCATCCTAAGGCATCATGATCTTATGGGAACTCTATTTCAGTTTCATCATAATGGTCTTGACCAAGTCAACTAAGTGTTGAAGGGTTGAGACCACCCATGTAAAACTTCACAAAAGAACCAAGAGGTGGTTTGAACTTTTACGTGGGGTGGCTAGGATAATCAATAGAAAAGTCATATTGATAGATTCTAAGTTTGTAGAGAAGAATTTAGACCTCACAAAAAATGAGGTCAATAAATGCAAACACTTTGATTAGCTCTCGAGCGGATGTGAGTCCCTTGGCATTCTTGTTCAAACTAATCACCCTGCTTACTCCCTAGAGCGGATATGAGTCTCCACGCTTTTTTTATAGTACGGTAGGCCTTTTCCTCATCTTCATTACGAATACGGTCAAGCAAATCTTAGGTAATTGTTTCACTCAACGAGAACCATAACTAAAGGTTTGGTCAGTTTCTTACGAGGGAGCATAATAGATGACTCATATCACATAAGATGATTGAGCGTTCTTATCTATCATTTCGAATATGGTCAGGTAGAGCACATAGGTTGTTATCAGCTCTCAAGGCAGATATAAGGCTTAATGCTGCCCATTTGATCCAGTCATTTCTTTAGGATGGATATATGTCCCTTGGCCATCATTCCTAAACTCAACACTTTGGTTGGCGCTCGAGTTTGATGTGAGTCCCACGGTAGTCTCTCTCAATCTAGTCAACCCTTTTTTTACTTTCCAAGATTAGCTGTGAGTCCCAAAGCTTTCCTTCATTGTGTGTTTGGGTTTCTCTCTTTTATCAGCTAAACTCTGGGATTTACATCCAATTCTTCTTTTGTTTAAACACAAGAAACAGCTCTAATATACATTTGCTTAATGACTTGAATATAAGTCATATCAGCACCCCTCGTTCCTAGAAGTTTCCAAAGAACTTCTCTTAGAACCTTATCGTAAGATTTTTTCTAAATCAATAAAAAAAATATGCAAATCCTCCTTACTTCTCTATAATTCTCCGACAAACCTTTAATTAAATGTATCTCTCCTATAATAGACTTGTCGAGCATAAATCAAATCTGATTATGAGAACTCCTTGCATCATGTCTTAACCTATATTCAATTACTCTCATAATTTTGATGTATGACACATTAACTTCATTAATCTTTAAATTGCACACTCTTGTGCATCTCTTTTATTCTTAAAAATGGGGACAAAAATACTCTTGCTCCACCTCTTGTGCATCTTTTTAGTTTTAAAAATAATATTAAAGAGTTTATTAAGCCAAGAAACTCATAAATCTCCACACTTCAATTGGATTATCCTCAGCTTTTACTAATTTTCCCCCCTTAATTTTCTTTAAAGTTTTCTCAACTTCCTTTTTACTAATGTGATGGTAAAAATAAATACTTTTATTACTATTAACAATATCTCACCAGGTCAATCATATTCTTAGAAACTTCATTGAAAAGATTATCAAAATGTTTCACTCATTTATGTTGAATATCTTCCTCTAAGAAAAATAATTTTTTTTATTTTCATCTATCATACGCTTGAATTAAATCTTTAGTTTTCTTTCTATTTTTTTGATTAATTCATACATTTATTTTTCACCATTTTTAGCATCTAATATATTATAAAAATCATTAAAGCAGAATTCTTAGCATCACAAATTGATCTTTTAGATTTCTTATAGGTCACTTTATATTTTTCTCAGTTCTCTAAGCTTTTACATTTAAACCAATTTTTATAATATTTTTTTTTTTTTATATTTTATCTTTTCTTTCACATTATTATTTGACCACCAACTTTTTTTATTAATAATTTTTTTTTTTGATTTTTCAAGTATATCTTTGGTCACTTGTTTAGTAGTGCTTATAACTATCCGACAAAAAATTAGCTTTTTCATGATTATCCCAATACTTGAAAATCAAGAAGTTCACCCATAAAAATATTTTGATTTATTTCTTTTAGATGCTCTCATCTAATTCTATGAAAATATTTATTTGTACTTTTTATGTGCCATATTTTATTTTAAAATTTAGAACTAATAATCAATGTTGAATACTTAATTTTTCACTTAGAGTGACCTTACAATAAATTGTCGATGATATCTTGTTCTCCTAAGAAAACAATCAATTTGTGTTTTATTTATAGATCCATTCTCATAAGTAATAATGTGCTCTCTTTTTTTCTTGAATAAAGTATCAACAATAATAAAACCATAGGCTAAAATAAAATCTAATATAATCTTACATTCTTTATTAATCACTCGAAAATTATAACCACCATAAATATTTCTAAAATCTTCTACCACTCTGCCAATATTTCAATTTAAATCACCTCCAATTAAAATTCTTTCTTCAAGAGTTACCATTTATATTAATTCTTCTACGTAAATCCAAAATTTTCTTTTAAACCTATATCTGAACCTATTTGAAAAGTATCACTTATAAAATTAAAAAGCTTGTCATATTTTTTCGGAAAAAAATTTATGCTAGTTGTCGAATAATTTGATTGTAGCTTAAAACTGTATAAAATATCTATTTCAAGAAATTATCGGGTATATGAATACATTGCGATACACCGAAAATTAACATCTCATCAAAACAAGCTAAATTTAAAAAAAAAAATAACAAAGATATTACAGATATATATTGTTTTTTTAACTAAAAAAAGACAGCTGAAATTACTGAAATTAGCACAGTAGAATATTATCGATGGGAACAAAATGAAACAGACCTCCAGTTTAGAATAACTTCTTAACAACCACAGGCAATTTATACAAAGGTCTGACTGAATTTTAATCGCATTCTCATCCAAAGAAAATTCTCTTTTTTATCACTTCTACAGCACTAAAAAACAGCCTAAGTGGCAAAACAAAACTATGCAATACACACTTGTTCATAACCATACAAAAAATAACATAGTGATGGTACCAAATAAGCAGATCTCACTTTCCACAATAAAAAAACATGACTTTATACAAGAGAAATCTACATCCAAGTGATTTCCTCATCTTCAGATAAGACCAAGCTGCTCCGTCGAATCCATCTGACAGTTTACTTCGTGAGAAAATTTAAGAACAGATGAAACAATAGCATGTGCCAGGATGACCATTGATCAAAGTAGCCTCCTGAAATTCTTACTGGTGGCTTGGTATGAGCGAACTAATAAACCAACGCCAATTCCAACACCAAGGCAAATGCCAAGGCTAATTCCAACGCCAACTCTAACACCAGCATTGAACCATGATAGCTCTCCATCCTCCTCTTCAGCGTATTCTGTACTGGGATATAAACTGGTATAATCGATATTGGTATCGCTGTCCATCTTGTAGTCTCCATACTCCGGTAGCTGCAAAACAGAGAACCGCACAAAGAAGTTGCTCAATATGCCCTTTTGCAGATCCTTTGATGATAAAGGATTGCATCAATTAGGAAGAAAACAGAGTCCCGTACAAAGAAGTTGCTTAATATGCCCTATTGCCCCTTTGATATAATTATTCTCATTCTATCAATCCAAATTCATCAGGTAGTCATCTTAATAATCCCATTTTTACAGCACTCAGCTTGGTTATTCTTCATAATATTTGCGTAGCATAAAAACACTCAAGTACTTACCAATTTTATTAATCCAATTTTCAAGTCTAGAAGTTATGATGTTTTCTTCATACCTATGTATATAATAGGTCCGAGCACAGAACCTATCTAATCGATGTATCATTTTAAAATAAACAAACATGCATTAAAATTTCATATCATATGCTAAGCTTCATTCAATAATCTGAAAATTCTTACTCTCTACAAATTCTCAATTATTTACTCTTTCTACTTACATTTGTAAATAGCACAAGACTAAGGTACCTGACCTCAGCAAAAAAAAAAAAATTCAAGATGATCTCAAGAAATTAGAAATTATATCTGCACGAGTAAGAAATTCAAATCAAGAAAATAACTGCTCAAAAATAGTAGAAGTAGATGAAAGAAGTGTTCAAAGTTCTGAAGAAAAAAATTACCAAAGAAAATCAATGGAAGATTTAGAAGTTGAGGCTATAAAAAAAAGTAAAACTTACCTGAAATGTATGAAATTAGAATCTGTACAGAAAGAATCATAAACTATTTTTCAGATTCCCTTTGCTTTCCATAAAGTTGCTTTTTAGTTTGTTTTAGCTTTTGTAAAAGAGATTCCCGCTTATCTCCTTTTCAAATAGTTTAGTACAACGAATAAATTGGAGTTTGGTCTGACTCTAAGAGTTTATAATATATGTATGGCTTGTTTATATGTTTGAGTGCATTGAGTTGAGTTATGTGAAATGGTGTCTGCTAGTATGTGTTTCTAGTTGTTTGCAAGTTTGTCCTTCTATCCTATAAATCTGTAAGAAAATTATTTAATAAAATACTTATTCCTGCTTGTTTTTTAAGCTTATTTTTTATTTGTATTTCGTTAAAAGATCCTACTTGTTCCTGGTATTATAGTCCTGTTGGGTTAAATTAACCTTAGAAATTATTGCAAAATGATATGATGTAAAGTCTGGTCTGCAATAGTCATGCGTTAATAAAGTCGAAGAAGTTTTAGGTAACCTATAAATCCTGGACTGATCAATACATAATTATCAATGATCATTTATGTATTAATGATCCTGATATACATATATATGTTTGAACAAATTGTTGAGACTTCATTGCATATGGTTATAAGACCCATAGAAATGACAGTAAAACCTAGCATATGTTGGTTGGCTTTCATAACCTATTTTAACCTTCATGCGTCATGGTATTTCTGAGATTGACTATTTGATTAGATTATACTTTTTCATCTACAAGAATTCATATCTTATTTCACGGCATCTTTTTCTTCTACTTGTTTGTTTAAATTAAAAAGAATATTTTTTATGAGAAAATCTGAAATGAAAAATACTGAACTTATTGAGTATCCTTTAAATAAAGAAGATCAAAAGAAATGATCAAATAAAAAAAAAATAATAAATTATTTGTAAAAAATTGGGCCATTTGATTGTAGGAGAACAAAACCAATTAGAACTGTAGAATGGTCAATATATAGACGGCAGAGACAAAACATTTCTTTATTAATCCAAGTAGATTTACATAAATATATGCATGAATGCAAACACATTCATATAAGACTTATAAAGATCACCCTTAACCTCCAAACTTTGAGAGGGTAAACACCTCAATCTTAGCTACCATTAGAGCCTATAGATGCCAAAATTGGGCCCAATCATTTATGGTTTTCATAGAGACGAGTTTATGTCATAATCATGTGTATTTTAATACCTTTCTCAATTTAAGTTTTCTCTCCCTAACATTAATCTCATTGGAGTAGTAATTAAATCTACACATACATGTTTATGAGTCTCTTCCATAATCTAAAACTATATATTTATGGTCCGTTTGGGGCAGCTTATTTACGCATACCGCGTTTTCAAAATGCAGACTGATTGTTTTATAATTGCATTTGGTGGGCGGATCCGGAAACGCTCGGGCGAGATGGGAATTATTTTCGAAGGATCGTGGCCGCAGGATCAACCTTGCGGCCGTGTTCATTTACAGATTATTATCCCGTTGCCCTTTCTATCTCGATTCTGCGTCCTCCTTGCCCTAGCCCTGCGATCGATCTCCCTCACCCACACTACTCTCGCCCTTTGCATTGCCCTTCTCCTCTCTCTCTTCACACTCGATGCTCCGATTGCGTTTCTTTGTAAGTTCCAGCAAATTTTGGCTATGTGTAATCATGTAGTTGTCGATCGAATTGTGGATTTCCTCGTGCAATTATTGGCTCTTTGTGCTGGAATTTTTTGCGATATTTTGCATATTTATGCCCAAGATTTTTTCCTCACGAGATTTTTCGCTTTCCTCATGTGATTCTCTATGTCTGTATGAGATTTGTGATTTGTCTTTTGCAATATTCTGGATGGATTTCGAGGTGTTGATCTGATAAGCTAAGGGAACTTCAAAAGATACTTTAGCTTGGGTTTTAGCAAGCTTTCATCTTCTATATGAATCAGAATCTATATGTATCATTTTCGAATTATTGGGCTTCCTAAGTAGAAGCTGTGGAGATCTTGTTTGTTGGCCTTTGCAAAGGTTTCTGATATATTGATGTGGGATAGGGAAGTCAGAATTATATTTTGCAACCTCTATATTAAAAAGATCGAGCTTAGAAATAGTTGGGAAGAAGTTCCATAAAATGATAGGGACTACGAAAAGTTAAAATTTAAGAAAAAGTGAGACCAGTTGAAGGACTGGAAGTAGTGGAAGGAGCTGAAATGGGGATCCACGGGCTTGGGGTGTGATTTTATCAAGCAGATCATTGATGCTTCATAGGATTGGAGAACTGAGAAGTTGGAGGTAATAAGTAAACCCATAAATACTTGTTCTTCCATTCATCTGTTTTAACTAATATACTTTCCCGTATTTCGCAGGCAATGCCAGCCAAAAAAGTCAAGGTAAGTGGCATTGAGCAGGACTTGGAGGAGAAGCTGGACCTCATGTTGAGAGTTGTTGCGAAGGGCACACATGTGTTCACCCCAAGTGAGTATGGGTTTGCAAGCATACCAGATACTGTGGGGGTCGAGCAGGTAGGTGGGCCAGGTGAAAGCCCCAGCTAAAACAAGAGGGAGCTGGAGTCCACATGCTAGTCAAAGCGGCCTAGGTCGGAGAGAGGAAAAAGGAAGGATTTCCTTCCATTATAAGCTCAATAAATAAGCTGATAGAAGTATGCAAATGTCAACCCGGTCCTTCAAATGACACCACCATAGACGACTTTCTTCGAGTTCTGGATACATATCCTGAAGAGTTCTGGATACATATCCTGGATACATATCCTGAAGTTAGGACGGGTACGCCGTTCTATCTGAACTCCTTGAAGTTACTGAAGAACTCGATCTGTTGTCGGATGTAGACTTCATTGTGACTGAATATGACACTGAACAACTACATTCGACGACTATCATTCTAGGTCGGATGTAGACTACATCGTGGCTGACGATGATCACATGCAGGTCCTGCAGGAAGCATTTAAATTTCACATCGAACAATCTATACCACAACCAGAAGTGGAATCACAAAAAAGTTACACCCAAAATGACGAAGGTGCCACCGAAATGGATGAATTGAGAAAGTAAATAATGGATGTCATTGTTCGATGTTGACTGGATTTATCTTGTTTATTTTATAAACTTTATGTTTATTTTATGTCACATGTATTATGGATATTTTTAGTTATGTAATTTTAACGTGTTTGTATTGTTTCTTTTTCATTTGATTTTTATTTATTATTTTTTTGGGCTTATGAGGTCAATGATGAAGCATTTGACCTTGTAGGTTCTTCTGTATGGCGTGTTGGTTAGTGTTACATGTGAAATTTAAATGAAAACAACCAAGTTCATCTCTTCTTTTCGGTGCATTGATTTACGAGGTTCCTTAGAATGGTTTTTTTTTGTGATATGAATATGTGACACAAGGGAAGTTGGTTTCACATGGGTTAAAAGCAACCAAGAAATCATTTTCTATAAGGATTGTTATCTTTTTGTAGTGACAAATTTGTTAGTTGATATGCTGAGTTTTCTGAGACCTCACGTCAGCAAAAAAATGTACTTAAATAATTTTTTCAATAATTTCAACCTCTGTTACGACTAATAGATTGACCTTTTAATAATTCAAGAAAGGTGAACTTCAGGATTTCAATGACCTCCAGACCAGTGCTCTGTCACTGCGGACTACAGACTTCAATACTAAAAAATCGGCACATAGCTATATTTAAACAAACCAGCAGAATCATAATAGTCATTAGTACATTAAAAACAAACTTACAGATAATGAGCAAGAAGATAATTATATAACAGCTAAGGGAGAAGAAGAGAAAAAAGGAACCGAGAGAAGAAGTTGTCCTTCCATTTTACGGAAGTCCTCTTTAAATAGAACGGTTGTCATCCATCTTCAGGAAAAATTCGAGCAATAAAGTGGCTTTAATTATTGTCTTTATTATCCTTTTTCATAAATAATTCAAGCTGTAAAGTGACTTTAATTATTGTCCTTATGGTCTGTAAAGATACTTTAATAATTTTGTTTTTTCTTGGTGGGGGAGAGTAATTCTAGGAATATTCTTCTATACTAACATCAGTGGTTGATATTTGGAGCTGAAAAGATGCTCTAATTATACCTTTTGTTGATAATGGATGATAATTCTAAGAATATTCCTACGCGTTAATTTTCTTTTGTTTATATCTGTACTCCATTGGACCTTTCTTCAAGTCTAAGCTGTATTTCCTGTATTGTATCTTTCTTCTGACTTTTAAAATGACACCCCATGAGATTTCAAAGTTATATGTTTCT